TAAAAAACTATTATTTAACTTGATGATTTATTAATAAAATGATTATTTGTTATAAAATTAAAAGTTTTAAGACGTAGAATGTAATTTTTAGAATCACATGTGGCCACTTATATTTTAAACAAATCTCAAAAAGTGATTATGTAATTTACCAAAAAATGAAACATAGCGTTCTTCATGTCAATGAATCACATGGAAATTGACCATTATTAAATTTGAAAAGATTATGTCTCGTTTTTAAATTATATTTTCTAAAAAATATTTAAAAAAATAATTTAATGAAAAAATAAAAAAAAATTATAATTTTCATATTATTTTTTCTTTTTTTTTTTAAATTAAAAAACATTTTTGATGCTTATTTTAACCAAACCAGTACTTAGTATTTTCTAAAAAAATATTCTAAAGATGAAACTAAACATTATTTATTATTTATTATTTATTTTTGGAAGATTAGTGTTGTATTCGAACTATGGCATTCAATTCATAATATGACATTAGGCCCAATTATTTAGATAGCTCAATGCTTACAGCTACTTTAATTGTCACCTGCTTATTTATGAAGCAAACTTCAAATCAAACCCACCCCACGCTACTGCAGTAAACATATTTTTGTTTTTAGTAGTGTTACATATATTAATTATTACACTAATTAATGTATTAATACTAGTCATGATATTATTATTGACTTTACTTATTATACAAATTACAAACATAAAAAAACATATTAAATTATGTCATATCATCAATTGGTACACTAATTAATGCACTAATTGGTGCATATAGCATTATTCTTTTGTGTTTTATTTTGACACAAAAATAAATAAAAATTATAGAAATTAACAATTTTTTTATGGACTTTTTTAGTTTTTCTCTATTTACTCATAAAGTTATTTTTTGTTAAAATTTAAATAGAAAATGTGACGATAACTGTCACATAATATAAAAAATAAATTATTAAGTTCGAGTTTTAGTTTGTATCAAAAGTGTATGTATATAATAAAATATTTTTATATCACGTGACTATCAATTTTTCATTTTCTTTCTAATTTTTAATAGAAATTAACTTTAGAAGTAAATTAAGAAAAACCCTAAAATATGAAAGACCAAAGTGAGAAAAAAAATGAATTTTAAAGACTACAGTGATAAGATGACCAAACATAAATGAGGAAAGTGTAATTTATTTTTAAAATAAATTTGCCTCCGCCAACAACTTAATTTGTCCTATTTTCGATATGATACAGGGAAAGGACATGATACAAACTCATTCCATACCCAATCTAAAATATAAAAATAAATTCAAATTATTTTAGGGCACGTAGTTCATAAATTCAATTTTGGATTTTCTTTGTCTAAAGGTCCATTCTCTAAAATACTTTATCCACAAGTTTTTTCAAAATGACCAAACTACCCTCATATATATTTGTTTTCCATACCAGACCTAACCAAACAGTCTTTCTCCTCTTTCCTCTCTCCCATGCCGATTAGAACCTCTACAGCGGTGTTGTCGCCACCATCGCCGCCCCTTCCTTCTTCGCACAGATTTGGAAGTGATGTCGAAGATCTGGAACCGCTCGACCATAAATCCACTACGAGATCACAATCTACTTTCTCCGATCCTTGCCATCGTTGTCTTCATTCCAGGCTCCATCTCGATCTCCCTCCTCCACTCGTTGTCGACGGAGCCGTTATTCCACCATGTTGCCCCTTACTTCACTACTACCAATGTCGATGCCTAGGGCCTTGTCCGTGACTAGGAAGCGAGAGGTCTTGTTACTGAGTGGAAAGAGAATTTTGGTTCCTTCAATTTTGCCTCTAAAAAAATTATTAACATTGAAAAGGTTTTACACTTATTTCCAAATTCATCGCATATCTTCCATTACGCAACAACTGTTTGTGATGATACCTAAGAGCATCCACATTAGCGTCAGTAAAATAACAAAAAGGTAAAATATAACTAACAGATCATAATTTGCTTGCTCCATTAGTCTTAACAAATTATTTCTAAATTAACTTTTGGTTGAATTTGCTATAGTACCTCAACAAATTTGTTGAGGTACTATTCATTAGTTATTCGATATTTTATTATTTTTTTGAAACAGGCTAATATATTTTTTTATTATATTTTCTTACCCACCGAACGTCCTCCCGGATGTCCTTCTAGATGTCCACCCGGATGTCCCTGCAAAGCAGGAAGTTTTGTTGAATTTTGGCTTGACCGGTCAACCGCTCGGTCGTCTAGCCAGTTGATCGCCGGTCGACCGCCCCTTAGTGGGTTCGCCTCCTTCGGCTATTGCTTTCTACTGCTGCTATGGTGCACTATAAAATTTATATTTAAATTGAAAAAGATAAAAGAATAAAAATTAATATTTTAATGAAATAGAATTTTAGAATAAAGTATTTGATGGAGCGTGTATATAAAAAAGATGTTAACTAAAATACAAAAGTAGATTTTGAGTTATAATTTGACTTAAAATTGCTGAGGCTGAGGCTGATGCGGATGAGCATTCGCATCAAAGTAGCTAAAATCGTTTTTTAGCTAAATTAATGATACTGTTCATAAAAAATGGACTGCATCAGCCTCGCTACTGTTCATCGTTAATTTACGAGTGCTACAGTACCTCGCTATAGCCAGCGATGTACTATTCATTGCTATAACACAGAGATTAGTGTTACCGGATATCAGCCCCAAAGTTCGGCCAGTCAATCGACCGGTCAACGGCCAATTTTTGTTTTTTAAGAATTGTTATATGGTAATTCATCAATTTAATAAAAAAAGAAAAATAACAAATCCGATAAAAAAATAATATTTTAATATTATTAAGTTAGTATAGAAAGTTTGATACATGAGTGCTTTGACAAGGAGGTAAAAAGTTAACTTTCGACTTTTTACTCATTTTAAGCCACATCATTTCTCATATTTTTTACCTATTAAAAGATAAAATAGACTAAAAAAGTTAAAAAATTAATTTTTTATCAACTTCCTAAAACACCACACAAAAGATACTTAAAAAGTGAGTAACTAAAATAGTAAAATAGTTTTTTTTAGCTATAATTTGACGAAATTTTAAAGGAGCTGGTGTGATGCTCTAAGCGCTTTATGAAACTAATCAGATTTGAAGATCATAACCCTCCAATTTATTTATTTATTTATTATTACTTTATCGATCTATCTTGAATTTTAGCTTTGATGCCTTAGCAGAGTTTAAATTGCTCTTTGATCTATGTCTGTTGCGTTTTATGTTGTAAGAAGGAAAATGCCCAGCCCCCTATCTCCCCTGCCCCACCACCTCCACACACACACGGATTGGTGAATGAAAAAAAAAATAAAATTCTGGATCAATGGGGGCGCTAGTGGGGTCATGGGGTGACCCCATTGGGAGCCTCAATCACGATTCTTGTAAGAAATAATTGAGAGTATTAAAAGTGATACTCTAATAACACTATTAATGATGTGGCAGTAGACGGGCCCCGCCCATTGCCTATGTTCTTTTTTTTTGACATTCCCAATGTATTAGTACTATTAGCGATCTTGTGTTTTTTAATAGTATGAATCATTGTTGTTTGTGTTGTCATTCGGGTGTGTGTGAATGTTGTAGTTGATTCAATCGGGAAAGAAAATTTAAACACATAATTTTTTTTTAAAAAAAAGATAAAAAATTTGAACAAATAAAAATTTTAATAGATAAAAAATTTCAACAGATAGAAAATAATGTCAACAGATAGTCAATGAAAAGTCAAACAATTTTAAAAAAAAAAGTCAGAGGAGTAAAATGAGAAAAAAAATATTTTACAAGACTTCTCACAAACTATTTTACAAAATATAAATCCTTCATCAACAAAAAAAAATCTCTTAAACCTAATACCTTATACTCTCTTTATATTGAATTTATCACCAACTAACCTATTATTTTATCCTTTTGATTCAAAATAATAGAGCTCATGTTATTGTTTAGGAGTGAGCAGCGGATATTCCGATCTATCAAACTGACCGAACCAAACTGATCCGCCGTATTTTGAACGGATACATGATTACGAGCGAACGGTTGTGGATTGATTTTTTTCAATCTACTTAGTTTTGGACAGATAGCGGATTTGAGATTTTTTTAGCCGCAACCGAATCGCCAAACCTCGAGCACCCTTAATAATTTGTAAGATTTTACGTTTTCAATTTGTTTAGATATTTTATTTGTATTTTCAACTGAAAAAGAGTGTGTTTTTGATTTGGAAGTCCTTTTTATTAAATGACAAGTGTTGATATTTGGTATTTTGTGTGAAAAATATAAGGATTAATTTGTCATTTAAAAAAAAAAAAAATTAAATAGTTTTTGAATAAAAAACAAGTAATGAAATAGTTTTGATAATTCATGATTTTCTTATATGTATTTATTATTGGTATTTGATAATTTACTTGATAATCTTTTGGCTATGTTGAGTTGGATTATTATCCAAAAAAAAGTTAACAAGTTGTTGTATTATGTTCAAAATTTGTAAAAATTTAAATCGCTAAACCAATTCGCATCAATCCGTCAATCCGCATTTGTCAATCCAACAGACGAATGTGAATTGATTTTTTTCAATCTGCTAATCTGACAGACAGATGACGGATTGGAGGTTCTTCGACTGTAACTGAACCACAAACACCCCTACCATTTCTTCAAAAATTTTAAAATTGAACTTATGACCTGAATTTCTTATAGACTAGGTTGGGTTGAGAATAAATTAGTTATTAAAAGTTAAAATATGTTAAAAATTAATAAGTAAAAATATCATATTTAACCATAATCATTTTATATTTTTCTAAATTTAAAAAAAAAAATTAAAAAATCAGCCCAAACAAACTTTTTAATCCCAAATTAAAAAAAATCTAAACTCTAAAAAACCAATTAAAATAGTAAGTTTTTGCCAACAGCTTATTATTGTCCCTACTACTCCTAGCAAGTTTGGAGCGTGGGTGAAGTAAGCGCGTGGGAGAAATCCAGTCCCTACAAAAAAGCTGAGGCCCTGACCTTCCACACATGCACTCACTGTATACACGTCTTTCATCTCTCTATCTTCAATCCTTCAATCTTCGAACCACCCCAACTTTTCACCTCTTTCCACATCACAAACCACACCCTGTACCACTCTCTCTCTCTCTGTCTCTCTCCCCGATCGACTCCATCCTCGGTGCTCACCAGCTGAGTTGCATTTTCTCTGAGTTTCTGCTACTGGGTAAGTCTCTGTTTTCTTTCTCGATGACTTTTCTCCATTCAGTTACCCACAAATCCGTATGTTAGTTATGTAATTATGCTTGTATATATCTTCTTAACTAGTACTCTACTTTTTTCCCCTTAACTGTTCTTCAGAACAGTGAATCAAATACGTAACTTCATTTGTGTTTGTATAAAATTCTCTAGTTTTCGGCCACAATCTTCAATTTTTTTTTAATTGATTTTCATTTCTGGGTTTTTGTGGGTTTTGTCTGATTTTTCGTCAGTAATTCATTCTTGAAGCTGTAATTTATTTAATCAGTCATGTGAACAGATAAGGTTTTACTGGAATCTGATGAATTCTCTTGCATTTTTATCAGATTCGGCTTTGATTCTCTCGAGTTTGCTGTTTGGAAGATTACCTGAGAGAATTACTTTACCAATCAGGCACATTTGGTTGTCGAATTCTTCGATTGGGGTCGCTTTTTGTTGAAGCAGAGTACTGTGATTGATTTTTGTTGGTAGATTCAACTGAGTTGAAGTTGAAACTGATGAGCTTGAGGCAATTCTTGTGTCTGGGTTTTTCTTTTTGTGTTGGTTTCAGTGATGGGTTGTGTTTATTCAAGGTCTTGCATTGGTGAGATATGCACACCTAAAGATGTCAAGGCTAAAGAAAGCCAAAATGTGAGGGCAAGTGAGTTTCCTGTGTTCTCACCTGATTCTTCAGTTGGGCAAGAAGGAGAATTTAGAGATCAATTGAATGAGCTCAGTATAACTAGGGATTCTGAAGCAGGCATCACCAGACTTTCTAGGGTTTCATCTCAGTTTCTCCCTCCAGAGGGATCACGGACGGTTACCGTTCCATCAGGGAACTATGAATTACGATATTCATATTTGTCTCAGAGAGGGTATTACCCCATGGCTCTTGATAAAGCTAATCAAGACAGTTTTTGCATCCACACTCCATTTGGGACAAACCCTGATGACAATTTCTTTGGGGTTTTTGATGGGCATGGAGAATTCGGGGCTCAATGCTCACAGTTTGTGAAGAGGAGGTTATGTGAAAATTTGCTTCGGAATAGTCGGTTTCGTACAGATGCAGTTGAGGCATGTCATGCTGCATTCTTGGCAACAAATTCACAGTTGCACGCTGACAGTTTGGATGATAGTATGAGTGGGACAACTGCAATTACCATATTGGTTCGTGGTCGGACAATCTACGTAGCTAATTCAGGTGATTCTAGGGCTGTTATAGCTGAGAGAAGAGGGAAGGATGTTGTAGCAGTTGACCTATCTATAGATCAAACTCCATTTCGGGTGGATGAACTTGAACGGGTTAAGCTTTGTGGAGCAAGAGTTCTTACTTTGGATCAGATTGAAGGGCTGAAAAACCCAGATGTGCAGTGTTGGGGTACTGAAGAAGGTGATGATGGTGATCCTCCTAGACTTTGGGTGGAAAATGGGATGTATCCTGGTACGGCCTTTACACGAAGTATAGGTGATTCTATTGCAGAGACAATTGGGGTTGTGGCAAACCCAGAAATTGTTGTTTTGGAGCTCAAACAAGATCATCCTTTTTTTGTAATTGCCAGCGATGGGGTGTTCGAGTTCCTTTCTAGCCAAACTGTGGTTGACATGGTGAGGTATCCTTTTCTTATGTTGCTGTTTAGATGCTGCTAATCTTTTATGCTACATAGTTGGTCTCAATGATATAGTTTTATCCTGTTGTTAATGTGGACTCTCAATCACAAGCATTAATATGCTTTCTTGAGATTTCACTGAGCTACGGCTCCTGACTTGAGATTTGGGATTTTTCACTATTGGAGCCTGGAGGTGTTATTGAATTTGAGAAGTATAGTCATTTTGGAAAATTCAATCATAAAATTGAATGGGGGACACAATTGATGTTAGACATTTTCCCAATTTTGGAGATGTAATAAATACTTTGGTATTTATAATTTTTGCGATTTCTTGGTTATACTATTTTCTTCAGATCTCTGACTCAATCCTAAACTTTGTAGCACGATACAAACTTAATTGGCCCCGTTTGGTGTAGCTGTTAAAATAAATTATAGATTATAGCTTAATATATTATAGATTATGACTTTAATCAGAAGCTGTTAATTGGTTTGGTGTAACTGTTGGATTATAAATTTAAGTTGCTGAGTAGTGTTTGTTAAATAAGCTATGAAGTAACTTTTTCAATTAATTTTTATTTTTTATTATTCACTACTTGTTTATATTTCTCATAAAAAATAATAATAATATTTTATAGTCCATTTGGGTCTTTTTCTATTTTTTAAAAAATAAAAAATAAAAAAATTTAAGAGTATAACCGTAAATTAACATGTCCACAGCAGAAGTTGATAATCAGAAGCAAGGGTGAGCAGTTTCTCAGAATCAGCTTTTTTGACTTAAAATAAGTTGTTAGAATCAGAAGCTGTTTGAAATAAGTTTAATCAAACAGTCTAAAATAGCTTTTCAAAAGTCAAAAGCCATAAGTTAGCTCAAAAAAACCCAAACAAACACCACCATTATGTTGGTGATGATAAGGATACAATATCGCATAATGATCTTTCAGGATTTTTTTTAGGGAATTGTTATCCCCACTTCTCACTCCATTTCTTGATAAATGCACTCTAAAACTTGTCCTTAGTGTCCAAATTTGACACTATTCCCTTCCATACTAAACGGCAATAGTGTATTTATAAAGAAGTGGAGTGGGAATTACACTTCCCTTCTTTTATTGTAAATCTTATTTTTAAATGTTTATAGTTAATTTTGAGCTGGATATGCCGAATAATTTAGTGTTGGGAATTTGGTGATGGATAGCTTAAAACTTTTGGTCTCCATGATGCATCAATTGCATTAATCGAAGAATTTCAAGATAATTTCAGATTTTCAAAAACCATCCTCGTCAGACTTTCATTGATATTTTTTGGGTCTGGATGCGAGTATTACATTGTATTTTAAGCTTTGTAATTACCTTAAAAATGAAAATTCGAAATTACCATATAGAATATCCGATATTATCCTTGCGCATCTTGTCAAATTTGTTTAACTACAATTTGTGAATCATTTGGTTTAGTTTTCATTTATCTTAATTCTCCTAGCATATTAGGTTAGCAGTACAGGTATTGCTTCAGTCTCTCTCTCTCTCTCTCTCTCCGTTTTTTCTTTCAGATGTTAAAATGGTAGGTCTTTAGTTTTTTTTTTTTGGCAAAAAATGTTGCCTAATATTAATGACGCGAGGATATGTTTTGTAAAATGTAGGACTCAGTAATTTTTAAATTACAATATCATAAAACTTTTAGATATCAAATTTGTACCATATTTCATAATTTCGTTAGTTGCAAGTGTATCCATTGATAAGGAAATATTGTATGTTAAGTTCGACTTGACAATTATTGTAACTTGCACTTGTCATTCAAGACAATTAACAACTAATGTGGGGGGTTCAGTTCAACTCACACTAAATAGAGTTATTCCCCTCGCTGAAGTGTCATGATCATTGAGATCTGTATGGGGATGATTAATTTGAGGCTGCTCATGTTGAAAGGATGCATAACAAGCTTTATGGTGCAAGGCTCTGTTATGTGTCATAATGAATATAAGGTCAACTATAGTAGGTTACAGGGGAGGAGATAATGGTGTTCAAGTAGATACATTAAAGTCAAGGACGATGATTATGGAACTATAACTGGTAGAGAAATGATTGGGTTAGTGTCAGAGAGATATATGGAAATGACAAAAGGTTCAACATCAAGAGGATTTGGGGTTTAGCAGAAACCATGATTCCAGATGGACTGGAAAGGAGACATGGGATTCATGTAATCCACCTCAAATGGCAAGACTGAAGGTTGTTTCGAGGTGAGCTCGAGTATGAAGGCCAGGTAGGATCAAGAGTCAAGACAATAGATAGTGTAGTACACGTAAAACTTGGTGTATGACACTGAGTTATGTTCTGAGCTTCGGTGATCATCCAGTTGGTATAACAAGATAAAAGAAAGTTACCTAACATCCTCTGAGCACAGTAATTAAATTGTGTCACTAGGATAAGTTGAAGGCTTTTCAGTGATGAGATGAAGGCTGAGAGAAAGGCATGGTAGTCATTTGTCTAATGGTAGAGTTTATTGTCCTACTTCCTGAATTTTGGTGGACTATGAAGAAGGGTCAGTGTGATCGACACTTGTTTCTCAAATGGTTTTGCTACAAGTCTCTGTGATGGGGATCAAGAAAGGAAAGGAGTGAAGACATATTTTAGGCACGCGAGGCACCAATTGACAGCTTTGAATTTTTAGGATTTGTTTCTAATTTTAATTATTTATCATTTTTCCTTAGTTTTCTTGTTGGGTTAAATTCATTTTTTGCCCTCGTGGTTTGGGGCTGGAGCACTTTATCCTCCAATGGTTCAAATATAGCCCGTAAGCCCCCATGTGATTTTGGACTGAAGTGCCACTGTTAAGTTTTTCATCCAAACTAACGGAAGGTGCATCACACATACCATTTTTTAGAGTGGGTTTGGTTTTCTAAAAAAATTAAGTGAAATTAATACAATAAAAAGACAACTTTACCCGAATTTTCTCTGAACCTAAAATTAGATTAGTATGTTAATTAAAATAAAATAATTTAAAATATACTTAAGGATTGATCTAAAATCTACAATATAATTAAGAATTTATTTACAATATAATTAAATAAAAATATAAAAATAAATAATAATTAAGAATTGATCTAAAACATGATTAAATTAAAAGTAGATTAACTTGTTAAAAAATTTCAATAAATAATTAATGATTTAGAATAAATTGTGATATAAAATATAATTAAATTAGATTAAAAAGTTAGAAATTACGATAAATAATTTAATATTTAGGATTAATTGTGATCTAAAAAATAATTAAATTAAAATTAGAATACAAAATTAAGAATTACAATAAATAATTAAAAACTATAATTATTGTGATTTAATTGAATTGACGTTAGACATTATAAATTATGTGTATGAGAGACGAGAGAGAAAGAAAATAACAAAACAAGTACAGGATTTGAGGGCATTATAGTTATTTTACATATATTAGTAACGGTTTTAATGGTTGCATTTTAGTCCAAAATCACATGGGAGCTTTTTGGCTATATTTGAACCATAGGAGGGTAAAGTGATTTTGGCTCAAACCACAAGGGGGTAAAATGAATTTTACGCTATTTGGTTGTGGAACATTTATATATATGGGATTATGTAAGAAAGAAACTTACCTTTGAATGAATGAATATTTATTGAGAGATACATTTGAAACCCTAGAGTGGTTCTCATTTACTGGTTCTACACAGTCACTTTGTTTCTTTTAACTTTTAAATGTTTAATGCTTTTTGCTATGCATGATACTTTCAGAAGGAAGATGAGAGCTGAATGGCCAATGATGTCCACCTCAAGTACCTATGTCCTGACTAATAAAATGATATTTTACTTTTTTCAGTGGTTCAAAATTTTCTGATCATTCAAATGTCTTTCTGTACACACCGAAACAATCTGTTTTCTTGGTTCATTATTATTTTTTTCTTACTTATTAGCCTTCTGTGAAAGTAAGTTTATTTTAGGTTGTGTTCGGATCATAGATTTGGGTAAGGATCTGGAAAGATAAAGAAAAAGGTGAGGGAAATGGAGAAAAAATTTAACTTATATTTTATTCACATTTCCCTGGCCTTTTCCTTTTCCTTTTCCTTTTCATTTTCATTTTCAAATCTTTATCCAAATCCATGATCCAAACACAGCCTTAAAATTACAAAAAAATTCAAAAAATACGAAGGTTTTGCTAGAAAATCTGAAATTTCTATGAATTTTTTTGTGGATTATTTGTAGTACCTACCTTTGTCCATACCATTTTAAACCCACAACAAATACAAATTATGTAATATCTTCACAACTTTTTAAGACACGGATGGTGGTTCCTAATGGTGTTTTGCATGTGTCATGGATGCGAATCAGAAAAGAGAAATTATTTTTTTCCTTAGGGTGTCCAAATCAGGGTGGACTACACAAATGTCTTATGCCTCCACTTTCCTAAACTGGATTGATTATTTCTCTACTAGCTGAGTAAATTTTGTTGTATGCGTTATGGAGATGGCATGCTTGCATGCGGGCATGATTACCTTTTTCATTTTTATCATCGAGTCAGTTTAGGATGACATCATTTTGCTTTCATATGATATCTCGATGTGCACAATGAAGGTTGTTAGTCTTTATTCTGTTTATGGAGGATTCTTTTGTTTACTGTCTGTTTTTGGATAATTTTTATTTTATGTTTGAACTTTTTCTCTTTAAAATTTGTGGGTTTCCATTCCTCGTCAACTAGATGTAAGGCAACAGTCAAATTTTGCCCCTCTTCTTTCTTGCCGCTAACCATCAAAGTCATTTATTCTGCTACTTAATTTCCAGGTTGCAAAATATAAGGATCCACGTGATGCTTGTGCTGCAATAGTTGCTGAATCTTATCGACTTTGGCTGCAATATGAAACTCGGACAGATGACATTACTGTGATAGTTGTTCATGTTAATGGGTTAACTGATGTAAGAGAGCTTGTTGTCCACAATTTATTAAGTGTAACTCTTTCATTTTACTTTGTTGTGCTTCATGATCTAGGTTTTATTAAATTTATGATGTGTTCTTTTGTGCCAGTGTTCTGTTGGCCAGTCAGCAAGTCCAGATGCTGTTTTACGACCCCCTATCCCTCAAATTGTTGAGGCCACAGGGTCAGAGTCTCCTTCAACCTTAAGCTGGAGTTCGAGAATCAATCGTGCTAGGCATGATTTATCACGGGCACGTCTCCGTGTTATTGAAAGTTCCCTAGAGAATGGGCAAATCTGGGTTCCTCCATCTCCTGCCCACAGGAAGACCTGGGAAGAAGAAGTAAACCTTCTTTCTGTAAATTATTCTTTTTATATTCCAATCGGTTTTGTACGAAAGAAAAATCTATACCTCTTCTTTTTCTTTCGGGTAGCGATTCCTTATTGTTAACCTCTATTGGTTCTTCATTAATTGACACCATGTATTGCAGGCACAGATTGAACGGGCGTTGCATGATCATTTTCTATTCAGAAAGCTAACTGATTCTCAGCGTCATGTTTTGTTGGATTGCATGCAAAGAGTTGAGGTTCAACCAGGAGAAATTGTAGTGCAACAGGTTAGTTATATTTTGATTCTTATTTTAGTTTTTAACATCATAGACATCTTTAGCTGTTTTATTTTACGTATTGGATGTCACTGAAATGCCACATATTCTGACTGATGTGGAACGGCACATTTAATTTAGAAGGGATGTTTACTTTGGCTTGAAACTAAATTAAGATGTGACTTCAGTGTGAGTCATGAAATTCCATTGTGATGCATAGCAGTGCTCTATATGTGTTAGTGGTGGATGGAGATCTAACATCATCAATTAGATTATGTGAGAATGACGTAGCAAAATAAATATACCATTTCCAAGCATTGAGGTTTCACTAGAAGAGAAAATACATATTTTCTTCTTCAGAGGTTAATTTATTCATGATTATTATCATTTAGGAATATGGCTCTTTCAAGGTTGATTCAGTATTTGAACTCAAAATATATGAATTGAAGTGGCAAATGGTTATTCATGCACATGCCAGCACATGTATAGTTCTAAACGAAGACTAATGACTCACCAAGCTATTTATATTTGTATATTAGAACATGAAACCAAATCAAACCAAACCAAACCAAACCAAACCAAGCCTTAAGTCGCATTAAATGCGGGTCGGTTGCATGAATCCTTTTTCTGCACTCAACTCTATCCAAGGCCATTTCGTTAGTCAAATTAAGGAGATTCTTATCTCTATTTAGTATACTAGTCCACGTCAATCTAGGTCTACCCCTTCCCCTAATACTACTATCTCCCGTCACTGTATCGCATCTCTTCACTACTGTCCCTGTTGGTCTCCGTTGTATATGATCAAACCATTTCAATCTATTCTCTCTCAACTTATCTTCTATCGGTTCTACTCCTATCCATTCTCGAATATACTCATTTTTAACACTGTTTTTTCTAATTTTGCCACACATCCACTTTAGCATCCTCATCTCAGCAACACTTGTCTTATCTATGTGTTTCTTAGTTGTCCAACATTCCGTCTCATACAACATCGCTGGTCTAATAGCCGTTCTATAGAATTTCCCTTTTAGCCTAATGGGTACTCGTTTATCACATAGTACTCCAGACGCACTCTTCCACTTAAGCCAACCCGTCTTAATTTTGTGGACCACATCCGCTCCAATCTCCCCAGTGGTTGAGATAATCGATCCTAAATAATGAAAATGTTCACTCTTAGGTAGTTCTTGGTTCTCAATCTTCACTTCTTTTCTGCTTCCAAACTATGATTATTACTAAAATTACACTTTATATACTCTATCTTAGTTCTGCTTATCCTAAATTCTTTAGATTCAAGTGCTTTTCTCCAAATCTCCAACTTAGTGTTAACTCCTTCTCTAGTCTCATCCACTAACACGATATCATCTGCAAAAAGCATACACCATGGCACATCATCCTGAATATTGCGCGTCAACTCGTCTATAACTAAAGCGAAAAGATAAGGACTTAAAGTTGATCCTTGGTGTAATACTATAGTAATTGTAAATTCACTTGTCTCTTCAGCAGGTGATCTAATAGTGGTTACCACATCTTCATACATATCCCTAATCACATCAATGTAACCTTTTGCTATCCTTGTCCTAGTTCTTTTTATTTTATTTTTAATATAAATTCGTAAAGGCAAATTTGTATTTATTGACTATAGAGGTGTAACAAGTCATATTTTGCAGGGTGGTGAAGGTGACTGTTTTTATGTTGTTGGCAGTGGAGAATTCGAGGTTTTGGCAACCCAGGTTATAATTTATTTTATTGGATTCAACTGCTACATTTACTAATTTTTAGATGTTGTTAGCTTCTTTTTATTTGATTCTTAAAATTGTCTTCTGAAATGTTCAGTAAATGACATTCCTAGTTGTCTTAGATCAATAGTTGTCTTCTTATGAAATACATGTTTTCTGGAGGAGAATATTTCTGATTTTATGTTGCAGCTTATTCCCTGTAAATTTCTTCAGTTACAATGTTAATAAGATGTCATAAATAGCAGGAAGAAAAAGATGGAGAGGTTCCAAGGGTTCTGCATCTGTATACAGCTGAAAGATTATCATCATTTGGAGAGCTGGCACTAATGTGAGTTCTCTTTCTCTCCATTAAATTTTCCTGTATCTGGATTTAATTGTTAGTAGCATATTTTCCATAAATGCCGTTCATGTTTACTTAAACGAGTAAAACTCTCTCCATTAATAATTTTCCTGTGTCTGGATTTAAGTGTCAGTATCGTATTTTCCAAAAATGCCGTTCATGTTTACATAATGAGTAAAATGGTGTATAAATAATTAGCCCTTTGAATAAGCAAAAGCGAATCATCAGCCACTACATTTGTGGATCCCACCTAATCATTGATGGGTTGACTTTACATACTCTTTATTGGTACCTAAGATCAAAAGCTCCAGCATAATTTAAATCAGAAATGATTGCAGACATGTTTTGATCAGGATTATTTCTAGTGTTCTCAGACAAACACAACTCTGGTGATCTTAGATCCATAATTATTTTCTAAGAAACATGGTTCATTTCATGACTTATTGTGAACATTTAGGATCATGATTTCCTTGAATTTGTTAATGTTAACCATGGTAGTTTCATTCTTACTGTATGTGGTTTCCTCCGGTACATTTCACTTAGGAATAACAAACCACTCCAGGCCTCTGTCCGTGCTGTGACAAGTGGAACTCTTTGGGCTTTAAAAAGGGAAGATTTTCGAGGAATTCTTACGTCAGAATTTTCAAATTTATCATCATTGAAGTTGCTTCGATCAGTAGATCTGCTCTCGAGGTTGACAATCCTACAGCTGAGTCACATTGCAGAATCTCTTTCTGAAGTTTCCTTTTCTGAGGGGCAGATAATAGCTGATAGGGTAAATATTCTATTTCGAATTAAATGCCTTATTTTTTTTTTAATCTTCCTTCCCTTACATTTTGCCGTGTATGAAGGATGAGGCTTTCTTGGGATTGTACATTATCAAGAAGGGACAAGTTAGAATTACTGTTGATTACATTACGGAGAAGTAATTTGATTCTGACGATACAATTGCAGCAAATAAAAGCTCTTCTTCAGAGTGTTGGGACTTCTTTCTGCCCTGATTATTTAGACTGGTTTGGAAATGGTGCAACTGATTCACATTCCAGAAATGCTGATCAATTTGTTCTTTCAAAATTTTTACAAGCACATCCTGCTGATTTTTCTACCACTAAATTGCAAGTCAGGCCATACTTTTTGCAGATTTTTCTGAAGTATGAATTTACTTTTCCTACAATAGTTTCATAATCTGCTTAGATAATGTTATATCTGTTTCATAAACTGCTTGATCTTTATGGCTTTGTAATGTTATCTGCTATTTGGTCTATTGGTTCTTGAAGTGACTGTCTATTGAGTTTTTTTTTCCTTCTTTTACCAAACTAGTTTTGAATTTTTTTTAGAGATCAGATTTTTAAGACTCAACCAAAGTATTAATTCCTTTTTCTGCAATTTCCATTTGACCTCTACCATTTCTATGGATCAGAAAGTAGAGATTTAATCCCACTGAGATTAGACAGAAACTTGTGAAGTGCATCAAACCTCATCAGAGCTGCCGATATAAGATTTGTCTATCATCTCTAATAAAACTTTCGATGCATTCCTTGAAGTGATCTGTGATTTAGTTAATAATAAGAAAAGGAAAAGCAACAAAATTTAATAACTTTACAGTTCAGTTCAATTATCGTGAAAACAAAATTGTGAAACCTTGTCATACTTCTTCATGATCTTAGAGAATGCCAATAGATTCAAGAAATGAAACATCGATTATCCACATGTCAGTTACGCTTAAATTACAGAAAAGAATAGAAATTAGTTTATATATATTAGCAAGCGGGGAAAGGGATGAAGGGGACTGCATATTACCTGCAATTACTCTTCTGTTTACTACACGGGTTAAGAAAGTAAGATTAGGTATCAAATGAGTAAATCACGATAAACCCTTAATAAAGAGGCCAAAAAAATTAACACATTCAAACTGCAACAATATGTTCTTTACAATCACTGAAAAACTATTTTTCCAAAGAGGACTACAACAAACAAGCACACAATCTTACAATTGATCATACAAGAAACAAATTCAGTTACTGTCCTCACAATTCAGCTTTGGTCCCTTGCATCCCTTCACTTAATTTGAAATTGACTCCTCCTAATGCGCAAAAGAGCCATCAAACAGCCGAATAACAAACCAAAGTGATGAGCCTGCCCACCTTGCTGAGTTGTGAGGCATGGGTAATGGCTCTGCAACGACACGCTGCATATGGACAAGCAATTCGATCCAAATCTTGCTCATTATGCTCCCAATTTTTTGGCCTCTTCCTAATTTATCACTCTTTGCCAACAGGATGCATCAAACAACACAGATTTGCTTCTATCTCCTTAACAGCAACTGTTTACTTGCTGTATCAACACCAAGGAACTATTGCAGGCATGTTCTTCTGCAAGCTATCTGGAACTGAATCCCTTGTGCAACAGGCATATATCTTAAGCAAGGCAAAAGATACAAAAGCATGATGCATGTCGTTCCTGCTCCTCGTTGCTCTTGGGCTCAGTGGGGGCTTGGGCTGGTTTGATTTTGCTTGCTTGTGTTCCGATTGCACTGCCATCAAAGCCACCTTGTAGAGACCAGAAATTCTCTGTCCTCTTTATTTTTCTTCCAACGAAAGAATTTCTTGGCCTCAGCACAGGTGTCCGGAATCTATTTGCCCAACCTGCCACAGTGGACATCATTGTTGCTGCATGATTAAAGAAGGATTACTGTACTATTAGACAGGAGCTTAGACAATTCACGTAATCCTTTCTTTTTAGCAGCACTTTGCTGACTTCTTAGTCATGACAACCCTTAGCATTAGCAGCAGTTGCCTGTTTGAGTTCTTAGCAATTGTTTGAGCAGCATTTTTTCTGAGTTCTAGCATTGAACCCTCAGTCCGTTAGCAGCATTGCCCTGAGTTCTCAGCATGTTTCAGCAGCATGTGCCTGAGTCTCCAAGCATTGATTTTTCAAAGCAACAATTTTCCGACTCTTAACATTGACACCCTCGAGCTTAGCAACATTGGCTGAGTCCTCAGCATTCAAGCAGAGTTCAGTGGCTATGTGCTACAACACATAGGCTCTCATGCAAAATCGACCTCATTGATCCAAGGGAGCAAGTCATTGCAACTTTCAAAACCGCAGAACCCAATTCACCTCTGGCTGAATATATCTCCTTGGCAGTTTCTCTCTCTTTATCAATGGGACTACGGTGATTGCCAATCTCACTCTACTATCCATTAGAGACTACCGATGAGGAATGAACATGCAACAGACCAGCACTTCCGTATGCTCTTGGTCAAAAGACAAAGCCCTTAATGAAAGCTATTTGTAGGCGAGATAAAATGTATACAAATGAATTCCTCCATTTTACTCTTGTAAGTGGCAAACCTTGTTTAATTTTATGAATCTCTTATGGATCACCATCTTCGTTTTGTGTGGTTTCTTCCTAGATAAGATAAGATGTCAACATCTGGTGTCTATGTTGAGAATTGGACAAAGGAATGTGTATCTACAATGAAAGATTCCATTCAGCTTTTAATGAAGGTTAGCATTAGTCATTCTGCTTATGTTGCAGCAAGAAAATCAATCTACAAGCATCTCTCTAGAGAGAATCATTGATACTGTAGAGTTGTAATTGGATTTCTTGCTACTGTAGATCATGGTTGGTGGGTATACGTAACAATTACCAAAGTTAATGTTTGGAGTTACACTTCTATTCTTTGTCAATATCTGTTTTGTTTTGGATCTGATTCACGTGTTTGCCATTGGATTTAGATTCAGATATATGTGACTGTAATTGTATTTACTTTTTATTTGATGCTTTGCATTTCATAAATTTCTAGCTTGGAATGGATGGTATGGTAGACATTGTGTACAATATTGTTGGATAAATGATGCAGGGATTGTCAAAACAGGAGGACAGGTGCAACAAGTATATATTTGGTTGTGTGTAATGTTAAAAAAGAACGTGCTGTGCTGCTGCCTGTCATGTAACTATGAAGTGTTTTATTCTGATCTTGTGTCAAGACTACAAGTCATTTTTCCCCATGCTATTGCTGTTCATCTATGTGTTTTGCAAGGAATTGATAAACATTTCTGACTTGTGTTTTTGCAGAATATATCTTTTTGTTTTTAAATGTTTTGGTGAAAACACATGATTCTATCTATCTCTGCTTTGGATGCAGAGGTGCTCAACCATTAAGCCATTTACCCTCACTCAGAGACCCGCCTAAAAAAAATGTAATATAAAAAATCTTATTAATAAGGTCCAATTTTCCGAAGAATAGGCTTCCTTTAGAATGTTTACCTGATAGCTTCAAAAAACTCGGGCTGCTACTTTGTTCGGTGCCTCAAAGATTGGATGAGATGAAGGCACTAGACAGTTTCAGATTTGTGAACTTGTGATCTTTTTTTCATCACGCTGGTTTTGTTTGTGTGAAAAAAGGTTTTTCACAGGGTAATGCCTCTTTATACAGCTTAACATGGCAACTCTTAGAGAATCTGAAAATCAAGACGTCTAACTTGCAAACGATCGTTAGGAGATGCGTTCCTATGAGAAAGAGGTTGATGAGAGAATGCTCTCAAAAGACCTGCTGATATGAAGGAGAAAGGAGCTGATCCTTATACTGAAGCAGCAGGTATTTGGCTTCTATTATTCTTTCAGATTTGCATAAAAAATTTGCAAGCCTATTTAATATTATTGAGTTCTAAACTTGTGGTCACATACCTTGGCATGTTATTTTGAGCAAAGCATGAACTTTCTATGTGTTTGTCATGGCAGTTAGAACAAAAATCATTTATGTATTTTTTTGTTAGCATTGTTTTTCTGAAAATAGTCTAGTTTTCTAGTATATCAAGATTTCTATGTCACACTTCCACCTAATCTTCAATTTTGGATTCTAATCATCATTCATATACAGTATTTTCTGTATTTCCGGAGGTGTATGCAATTTTCACATCACTCATTCTTGGTACGAATAGTAATTGACTTGTGAGTTGTATATTTTTTGCCGAGCTTCTTTGCATTGCATTGAGAACTTTCTCATGGTGCTACGAAAATTAGATTGATCACATTGCTTTCTCTAAACAGGTTATCTGAAAAGTAATATGATTCTGTAGTAGGAAAGTGATTAATTCATCACATGCTTGAGTGTGTTTTGTGCCTATGTTGATTTTGTTTGAGTTTTTTCCTCTCAATTACTGGATTCAAAATGGTTGTTTAAATATGCCATATTTTGAGTGTATTGCCTTATTCTGCTTTTATCCTATTTTAACTTGTGCCTTTGTTTTAAGATGTTATTTCATGAGGCAATCAATAATATTATTCCTTTTGATTGGTGTTTATTCGAAAAGATGTTTCAGCTACTAGCTAGCGCTATTCAACAATAAGCATTCAAGATGCTTCTCTCTTCTTGGGGATGAATGAGGATGATGCTACAGTGAAACTGTAAGTTTCTAGTCCCTTTCTTGTTACAAACTGTATTCAACCATAACATTCAACAATAAGCATTCAAGCATGGCCCAGATTTTTTGGTTGGAATTCAAAATTTGAAAAAGCGTTTTTATTTTATTTTTATTTTTTTCTTTATATGTATTTAGTTGCTTCTTGTATGTTGAATAAAATCTTCTTGTTAGTACTTCTTCAAAGTTTTTAAGTACTTTATAAGTATTGGGTACTGAATTCTCAATTTTGTTTTTATTTTGGTGAAACTCTCATTACAAGTTTATGTTATGATGCAGCATGTAGACCAGTGAAGACTACAGACTTTAAATGCTAGACATGATTTGTATATAGTTAAGTTTGGTTATGTTAAGGACATGATTTTTGATATAGTTAGTTTGGTGTTAACGTTTTGGATTTGGATATGTTAATTTTTGTGGGTAATGGTGATTGGATATTAATTGATGAAAAGGTGAATTAATGCTTCATTACAGACTATTTTGAA